ACCCACAGCCCACTTCACGCCCACGCTGAGGGAGGAAGTGTTTCTACATGACAGTGACATTAGCCGCGTTCACACCGGAGTACTTTTCCCACTTTAGTTCCGATATATAGTTCCGAAATGTCGCGTTCATACGTTCAAACCAAAAAGAGCCGGAACTAAAATTAGTTCATGAGAACCTTTTTACCCCCTTTTCCGTCCCTCTCATGCGGCTCTCTTGTGAGAAAAGAGCTATATTTCTGATTGGCTGGGCGGATTGCAAACCACGCCCCGTAAAACTCAAAAAAAGTGTTGCGAAGCCACCATTTTATTATCCTCGCATTAGCATTATTAGCATTAGCATTAGCCCAGCGCAGAAACGCAGAGAGACTAATTTATGGCAACACAAAATAAAACATGGGAGCGGTGGAGATGAGGAGGTGTCGGCGTTCTGGCGATTTACTCGGAAAGCTTCAGTAGAAGCTGCTGGGACTCAACTCCGGGGACTTCCGGCCGGGGATTTTGGGCGGCAGTATACGGCGCGAAGTTGTTTGCGGCCTGCCAGTAAACCCAAAACAGAAAGGGAAGAAGTGACGTCAGCGGCTTCATTTGCCTAATCCACCCCCAGGGATTTATTCCGGTGTAAACGCGATCTTTACTTAGTTTATCAGAACTAAAGAGTTCTGATGAACTAAATTCTCATGAACCTTTGTGGGAAAAGTACTGCGGTGTGAAAGCGCCTACTGACTCACCCACTGCAGTGAACACTTCCTCTATGCCATCTGAGGGGAAACAGAGCTTACATTTTGTGCATGGTAAACCACATTGTTTATGTGGAATCTGGAAGTGGAGTTTGGTACCTTTGTTGTTGTATAAGTGATGGTGGCCATTTCATTCTGAGTCAGCTGGCATTTCCATTTTCTGTGATGGTCTGTACGTTCTTTAGTGATGATCAGTTTAGAGAAGCATTACGAGGGATATTTGAACTGAAATCTATCCCCGTTTAATTGTGTATTATCTTCTGTGATCCACTTGATATGTATCCCTTTATTGTTACAAGCAACAAGTCCTCTATACATATTGAGGAAACACTGGAGTTCTATTGTGTCTTCCATAGGATTCGGGTTCTCAACAACTATAGGAATGAACATTATTATGGTTTGAGTCACTTACCTTTAAGAATCTGAAGTGAAACCTTTGAATTGAGCACTCCATTGTCACAAGAGTAAAGTCGTGCACTGCATCATCGAGGACCAGGTGGTTAATCTTCAGAGAGCAGTCTTTTAGCAGGGCTACCCGTTCGGGGGCCGTCACCCTTCCAGCTTTCACCACCTCAGTGACTGTATGAAACTCTCCAGCCATGTTCCAGTTTACAGAGGAGCAGTGTTTGATTGAGGGCATGCCACATGGTAAAGTAATGTTATCTGCATTTTATTTTAATTCCCATGTCATGGAAGTTGTTTGAACAATCTCATTTACTTTGTGAGAGCACATTTTAGTGGGAAGTTGGCAGGGCCGTGCGAAGTAGGGGTGCTAAGGGTGCTGCAGCACCCCCTGGTGGAGGACAGGGGATCCGCACTTCCACAAGATATAATTAAAAAAAAACGAATTTTCAGCCTTGATGTAACAACATTCATAATTAAGTAAAGATAAGACCCTTTTCACCCCGGTTACATTTTCCATTTGCCCTGTACGATGGGCGCTGTAAGTGATGAAAGTGGGGGATGTTGGCTTAGCAGGCGCCCGCAGCTCACAGCCAAAGTGAGAGAGATAGAGAGAGGGGATACCGCGGTACCGGCGGGGATTGTTGTTAGCTTCTGCTGCGCTAACGGATAAAAGAAGCTGTTTCTACAATAATGTGGAGGGAGTGTTCTGTCCTGTCAGACTGAGAGGCTCAGTGAGGTAAAGGACTCTGAGGGCTTAGATAGTTCACTTTAGTCTAAGTTATCTCAGTGGGTCTCAAACGTTTTGATCACAATTTATGTAAGCAAATATTTCAAAGGGACACCTTTATAATTATTAGGATAAATAAAAACAGGTTTGAAATCATTCCAATCAATCAATCAATCAATGTTTATTTATATAGCCCAATATCACAAATGTTACATTTGTCTCAGTGGACTTCACAGTTTGTACAGAATATCAGTATGACAATACGACACCCTCTGTCCTTAGACCCTCAACATCGTACAAGGAAAAAACTTCCAGAGAAAACCCACAGTTTAAAGGGAAAAATGGGAGAAACCTCAGGGAGAGCAACAGAGGAGGGATCCCTCTCCCAGGACGGACAGACGTGCAATAGATGCCGTGTGTAATCATTCCAATGTATACTATAGGACAGTAAACCAAAAATATTGTTTAAAACTGGAGAGATTTAAAAATATGCATAAATAAATAAATGTTAACTGATCAAATAAGATCAGTTAACATTTATTTAAGAAGAACAACACAAATAAAATAAGTTACATTTATTTGTTATTGGCTATTGTAGGTTATTGGAAATGTTCACATACTTATTTGATTAATAAAATGCAAACCGATATTTTTCATATGGGTGTTTAGAGTTGTACCCCCTAGATCAGTCTCTAATTGGGCGCTCAAAGTGCACCAAATTGAAGCATTTTACTTTAAAATGTTAAAAAAATCTTCCCGGGGGGGTACCCCGGACCCCCCTAGAGGATGTGAAGTCCACCCCCCAATTAAAACATGTTATAATATATAATAAATTTGAAGCCTTGTTATATAAGCTGTCCACCATGTCAATATATTTCTCTTTTTGCAGTGTATTGGTCTTTTGTAGAGGTTTTTCATTGCCAGCTAAAATCTTGCCTAGCAGCACATTGGTCAGAACCAGCCCTGGTGTCATCCCCACAGCACCCCCCATTTGAAACATGTTCCCACGGCTATGGAAGTTGGTCGCCTCCATTATGAACTGATCTTGTTAATAACCATGTTTGGAAGTATAATAACATTGAAATTACATTTGCTTCAGATTATTAGTAAGAAAAAAAAGTATAATTGTAATTATTAGTAATAGGACTACTTTTAGACCTATCTTTTGAAATCCTATAGTAGCCTAATTTACTTTGCTAAAGTCACATTCGACGGCCTATATAATCCGTATCCGCAACATAATAAAGAATTGCGTCCTAATGGGAGCATTTTTGCCCCTATTTGTACCACAAAGGAGGTTGAAATGTGGCTACTGAGATTAAGCACCAGTTTATGCAGCACTACAGTACGCTGGGCGACCCAAATCAAACACACCCACAAAGTTTTGTGAACAGCTGCATGCTGGGTGTGGCTAGCATGCTAACATCTTAAAATATACTTGTTTTCTGGCTTCTCTGGTAAACTTCTTTCTTCAGTGGGATAAAAGCGCATGCTTTGATAATGAATGAGCTAAGGAATTGGACCTGGTGCGGATTTGTGGAGGAGTTTTCAGTGCAGACGCGTTCAGAAAGATGAGTACACCAACACACATGGACCGTTGTATCCCTCCAAATCAACATTGCTAGTGGTTGTGTGCATGCTCTACACATATTGTGTTTTGTTTGTGGCTGCAGCTGATGTAGTTTCACATCTTGTCACATCTGTATGTCATGGTAATGCATTAAAGCCTACTTTATATAGTACTATACTCCTACCCCCCACCCTTCAATAGTGTTGGTGAATCCCTCTTTTTGATGCACTATTATTGTAGTTACTTGATGTTTTGTGGTTGTCCTCGACTGAAGAAGTTAGTCAACTAACATTCATACAATTTAATTGACAGATCTGTTAAATGGAAAAAATGATGTGCTCATAAGTTTCTTAGAAATAAGTATTTTAGCATTAAAGAAATAAAGTAAAACTGAAGAATTGACTAAAGTAATCTTAGTCAACTAAGGCCAACATTACCAATCATAAACAGATCAGAAGACATTATATTCTGTATATTTACCAAATGACTGAAATCCAGCAGGTGCCTTGGTGAGAGAAAGAAGACTCTTATCCAGGAAAAATATGCCATCCTTCTAATAGAATATGTCTTCTCCTAGATTGTCTTGCTTATTCCAATATTGCTAAATCCTCTGATGACAGAAGTCACATGTTAAGGAAATTAATCATTTTTTATTTTAAGACTGGCCCACAAGAGGCCCATGTTCATCTTTGCACGATATGCCTTCAACTCTATAAAAAAACTGTGGCCACTATACACACAAATGCCTACTGTGTGCTTTAAATGTAATATATCCCCTTTCTATCACGTGTGCAAACAACAAAAGCCTCTAGTTATACACTGGTATTGCGGTTATCTTTCATCAGATTGATGCAGAACATAATTAATGTATAAATGCTACACACACTTTTACCAGATGTGCCTTGAACCAAGGGAGGAGGAGTGGTAACCTCAGAGTCAACTGGACATTTTCTTCAGGAGGGAAGTGATTTCACTTTCTGTAGCACTCTCAGTGTTGGTCCACAGGGTGGTGCTGTCAGACTCTCTTACATATATTCTATTATTCAATCTAGTAGTATCTTTTACCAGTTTTCAGTGTACAATTTCTGGGTTTGGAATCCATTTTTTCATTCAAATACAGCGTCACTTGAACTGTGTTTATTTGATCAAGATATCCTTATACGGATCCTTCTTGTTTATATTTTAGGAAAAATATGATTGATGATGACTCATATAATTTCCCCCCTCCACGGGTGATTCTGAGGCTGATTATTTTTACATATACAATCTTTATGCAGTTTGATTCGCCCTTTAATACTAAACAAATAAACAAATGTTTATATATACATCTCAATATAGATGATTGAATATAACTTTTTAATACATTCGGAGTTATAAACCCAATAACTGACCATTTTAATCAGGATATTTAATACCGCAGCCAAATATAAAAATGTGTTGATTAGACATACCAATGAAGGTTCTGTAATGATACTTACATTTAAAAGTTTGTTAAAAAAAGTATTTGTTTTCACAGAAATAATGTGTTTAAGCAACAAGCAAGCAGTACACCCTCTGTAGTTCAGGGATTAGTCTCAGGCCTCCGACATGCTACAACTGTGTAGGGTTTGACCTTGAGGACAACACTGGCAACCCCTCTCAGGTCGGGCAGAGAGGCTTTATTCTCAGGAGGGATGAAATGGAAATCTCTCAGCAAGTAGGCAGTGAACAGAAAGAGCTCCATTTTGGCCACGGACTCCCCCAGGCAGAGCCGAGCCCCCCCTCCGAAAGGAATCAGGGCACGGGTGGAGCCTCCTCCTCCCGCCAGAAATCGCTCTGAAAAATAAGAGAGAGTAGCTACTTTATTTGAGATCTGCTGAGCCAAGTGAAAGGAATGCACTTCACCTCACAGTTGGAACAGTACCTGGTTTGAAGCTGTATGGGTCAGACCAAACTGCAGGATCATGGTGAGCTCCAAAAAGATTAGGAATGATGACTGTGTTCTTCGGGATGAAGTAACCTGCAATACTAAACATGTGTAGGAGTTATACATTTGCACTAATGCAAAGTAAAACAGTGTTTTCATCCATACAAGTGGCCTTTGTGTATACCTGCTGACTGAAAGACCTGATCGCAAGAGGAACAAAGTAGCTATGTCAATATAGTTATCTAACTATTAGTTAGCATTTTTTAAAATCTGGATTCAGATGCAAACTTACAAACCTGGAAACAACACATTTATACAATTTGTTGCTTACTAGCTTTTAATATATTCATGATTTAGCTGATTTGCCAAAACAAAGCCAAACTTTTTGCATACACTATTTAATGCAATTCATTCTTCATCTTAATGTATGCATTGCTTCAAGCAGTGCCAAGTGGGTAAGATTTCAGAATTCACAATGCTCTGGTATTGGACCAACAAACAAATATTATGAGTGTAATATCGGATAAACATGGGTTTTTGGCAGTTTTCGAAACTATCTGTAATGTACCCACCTCTACCAATGCCAGTAAAACAATAGGATCTTATAGACAAAATATCTCGATAAGTAGCCACTTGTCTTCATTAATTTCATCATCACTGCACATGATTCAGCTGACCTGCTGTCTCTGATGGCTCTGTGTGGCACAGCCAGCGGGGCGACTGGCCTCAGTCTGAGCACCTCGTTGATGAGAGCGCTCAGGACAGGAAGTCTGTGTCTGTCACTGTACTTGGGGTATCGTCCCTCTAGTACTGTGCACATCTCCTCATACACTTTGGTCTGCACCTGAAGATTTTAAAAAGAGCTTAGAAAGGCAATTAGATCATCGCCCAGTGTGTGTATATATACAGTGTTTAATGTGGAGATGTGCCCTGCCTCTGGCCTGTGCAACAGGAAGGCCACAGTCCAGTTGAGCCATGCTGCAGTGGTCTCTGTTCCCCCGATGAGAAGGTCCACAGTGGCCATGTGAACATGAATATCTGTCAGGCGCTGAAGACATTTTGTTTAGTATTTTTCATAGTACATTACATTTTCAATACATTTTAAGTCTTCAGTTAAGCTAACTTAATTCCCAGTGCAATTTGAATTGTGCTCCCCTGGAATTCTGTAATTTGTACCTACCACTCCATGTTCTGTGTTGTGCTGTTTTTCAAGGCCCTGTAGGAGTGATCCTGTGATGGCATCCTGATGTCTTTTGTCTTGTGACTGCACATGTGACAAAGCAACAGCTGATTAAAATATATATAAGGAAAAAACAGAGCTTGGATACATCCACTTTTCTGGATGCGCACACAATGAAAATATACTTGGGTTTGTTGCAATTATTGAACTTTGCACTATAATACAATTTTTAAACAGACAAAACAATCTGATCTCCCCAAAGGCTACTATAGTGCAAATGTCTCATTTTATGATTGTGACATTTCACTATGATTTGTTGTCATTCTTTTGGCATCTTTGACATTTGTTTTTACTGACCTTGTAATTGTTGAGATGTTCCTTTATAATTTCATCTCTCTTGGCCACCTCTCTCAGAAGACGGGAAAATACAGGATTGGGCAATTTCTTTGAGAGAACAAATTACGTAATCTGTGAATTCTCACTCAAAAGATGTTTTGGTTTTTCTTGTGATCTTTGGTCAAGAATGAATATTTACTGACTCTGAGCAGTGGAAAGGAGTCCAGAGCAGAAATCCAGGAGGAGCCCCACAGGGCAACAATCTCATTCAGACAGCTGTGCAGCTGCTGCAGCTCCGAAGAAGTCTTATTATACTAGAAAACAGATAGAAAATATAATTTTGTTTTATTTTTTAACATATCCTAACAGAAAAATGCACTGTTCAGTAACAAAATAGTACATTATAAGTTCACGAATGGAATATAAGCTTCTAAATAGGGCAACATAAACAGGCAACCAAGCACTCGTATGCCACAACCTCAACTGTTCATTGATGCAAAGCAGATTTTGCAATCCATCTTCGAGCCTCCGAGGATAAAACTTTGCTGTGGGAAGAAGGATACTCACTTCTTTTCCAAAAGCCAAAGTGGTGATGACATTGCTGGCTGCCACTGTGAAATCCTCTGAGAGATCTACAGCGCTGCCTTGATAGTCCATCAACACCTAAACAGCGAACAAACAATGCTTTGTCTTTTGAGTCTGACCACTCTGGAAATACCCCCAACATCTTGTTTGTTCTGCCATCACATACAGGCCATTATGTGTTTCAAATAGTGAATCCACTGTTGTATAATTAGTTTCTCTTTTGTTCTGTACCTTTCTCAGATGCAGCGCTTGTCTTTCGATCACACTATGCAACGATTTCTGGCAGCAACGCTGCAAAGCACTGTGGACGAGGCGACGGTGTGCCCTCCACTCCTCATTATAGTCCCCCAGAGAGATGGTATGCCCTCCCCCAGACACAATATCACCTAATTCAAGTCAGGAGGGGTTAAACAATGATACAATGATTATGCACACACAAAGCACACATTGCAAAAAGCTTAAAGCTGTTTACCTGTGTATGAAACTGGTCTCCCTGCAAAGTCTGACCATTTTTTCACCAGTGCTTCTCTTATGACTTCACTACTGTTTAGTACCACCATGGCTGAAAAACACAACAGGGTTTTGTACTATCTAGAGAAAACATATTTTAAAAAGTTGTGCAAAATCCATCAATCTGAAATGGGATGTTTACTTGTGTTTCCACATTTCAGGCGGTAGATGTTTCCATACCGCTGTGCCAGATTGGTCAGGTGAATTGGCAGATGATCATGTGTCAGCTCCATCATATTGCCTATCAGGAAGAAGCTGGGAGGACCTGGGAGGGAAGGAGACGAGGAGAGGGGGAGCAACTGATGGAGATTCTGCAGCAGTCCATCTTTAACTACCGGATGAAAGATTTTGGAAAGAAAAAGGTAAAACGAAGAATGCATAATAAAATCCATTAGAACTCACCCAGGTCAGGGGTTCACTATTGTTTGGTGCTTTGAGAAAATGTCCTGTTCATTTTATTGTACAACCAGTTTGTTAAAATATACAGTTATTGGCAACAAATAGATAAATACCTGTTAACTTACTTCCCTTGTGGTTTTCCTTTAAAGATGTGTCTCTCTTACAAGTAATCAGTATCATCAACAGCAGAAAAACTAGGATCACAGCTCCCACAGTGATCACTGATTTTTCCATTGCCATTATGTGTCTTCTTGCTGGTGTCCCTCTTCAGAAAGGTTGTCAGCACACTGCTTGCTCCACTTATAGTCTGCTCATCACTATCTTAGCCAGTCAGGTTAAAACAATGTTGATGTTTTCACTCAAATCAAGGACCTTTGACTATTTTGTATGTCAACACATCTGATAATGAGATGAAGGCGACACATGAGACAGAGTGATAAATATAGCCAGGACTTCCTGAAGGGCATGATAACACTTCACAGTTTACGCAATGGTAAGTTATGTTGGCATTTGTTTTCTTTAAACACAGGGTTTGAGTTTTTTAAATCACTGTTACAAAACCAAAAAAGGACACGTCAGACCCACATTAGCCACATTTATTCCAATGGAGTGAGACAGTGCATATTCAATAACAGTAGTAGTGGGGTGGCATACCGTGTTGGTGCTGAAGAAGGTATTACTCAATACACTGTGTTGCGATGGACCGGTCAGGCAGAACAGAAGATACAACATTTCAAATAAAACATTTTCCCTCTCTTTTGGTGTATTTCCAGAAAATAACAGATCAGAAAAAAAGGTTTGGACATTGAATCAAATGTACTGATAGCTGTCGTTAAAGCTATCGAAACCACTGTACATGCAATTTCAGTTGGAAAGTGACATGCAGCAACTGTGAGATCCACTGTCTTCTGGATTTCTGAACCTTTTATTCTCTGTCAGATGTATTGAGACTGTCCTTAGCCATGGGTGGCAGGAGAGAACCTGGCCGGTCTGAACTTCATCTCAGTGAAGGCAATGGAAGAGTCTTTACCTTTCCAGTCTATCCAGACCACTCCCTGTGTCAGAACAGAGACAAAAAGTGATGTTAGGTTTTTGTACCATAGAAGATGTTTAAAGTTCAATAGTATATGCCCAGGTTGATGAAGTGTACCTGATTATTACTATTGATGCCATGAAGACCGTTGAGGTTGGTCTTGTAGCAGTTCTTGTACCACCAGCCTCCCATGTAGGCCCTGGCACAGTGGATCCCCAGAGGATCAGTGTCCTTGTCGCGGGTTGAGAATGGACGTCCATTATGGTACCTCATGGAGTCACCTGAGAAAAAGTGACATTAAGGTATGAATTATTCACGTTTTATATATATATATATATATAGTTTATACTGCACATTTCACATTCAGTATGGTTTTTACCTGCAGTTCCAGTGTAGCCAGACACTGCAAGAGTGTAGTGCCTCTCGGCTGAATCAATGGTGAAGTTGGCGTAGTGAGCGTAAGCGGTGTCATTTCCAGATTGCAAATCCACTCTCAGACTCACAGGGCCAACAGTGGTCAGGTTGTGAAGGAGCTCATTTCCTAGTAGTGGTAGAAGGAACAGTTGAGGCAAATGTATTCAAAATCTATATTCTGGTGCATATGTGATGAAAATAAGGACTTGATATATCTGTACCGAGCCAGAAGTCTTCGCTGAGGTTTCCAAAACCAGCGCTGTATTCATTCCATGTTCTGTAGAAATCAGTTTTTCCATTCATCCTCCTCTGGAAAACCTAAAAAACACATCAGATGTTTACTATCAAATCCATTCTGCCATTTCCTCACCACAAAATATTATGATATCAACTGTTTGTCACCGTCCAGCCGCCGCCATCAGTCTCCATGTCACAGTAGACTCTGACTGCTCCTCCCTCTTTTCCATCTGGGTAGATATCCACCTCTCCTGACTGCAGAGCTCCATTGAGCAGCTCCTGAGAGCACTCGGTAGGGAAGGGGAAACGCAGTTTGCCTAAGGCATGAAACAAAAAAGAATAACTTATAAAGCTAAAGTATTGGTAGGGCAGATAAGCAGGGACTGTGTTAGTTGAAGTACAACACCTGTGATGAATTCTGTAGTGACAACAGATGTGTATTGTCCTTCTCTCTCGCCTTGTACCACAACAATGTAGCGTGACATTGGCAACAGCCCTGTCAGTTTATACTCTGTGCTGGATTGATCCAGGATCACCTCCTAATGTATACACAAAAAAGCACACTTAGTTTGTAAATGTCATTCATTTTTTTAACTGTATGTGAGAATGATAAACGAATATTATTGACCTTTGTCTCCTCTCCTGCCACCTGGTAGATCAGTCTGTAGCTGTAATAAACCACAGTGGATGTTCTCCATGCTATCACCGCAGAGCGAGTTCCCACTTCACTGGCTTTAACCACTGAGAGACACAAACATATTTTTAGTAAGCAAACTATACACACAAACTATGCAGACAATGGCAAGGAAACAATCCCTGTCCTGGTAAATGTATTCCCTTTTCTACTCACGATTAGGTGTGGTGAAAGTAGTAGAGATGGCCATGCTCTGCAGACTGTCCTTCTGACTCAGCACTTTGACTGTGTACACCGTGCCTCTCTGCAGGCCTCTCAGCTGGTGCTCCACTGAGCTTCCAGACAGCATCACTGTCACTGTCACATTAGGAGCTGTGGCAAGAAGGAGAAATAATCACAGTATTTAATCTTGAAAACTTTGTTATTTATCATTCGGGTAATATTGCCACACTCACTTTTAGAGGACTCGTAGCTGATGATGAAGCGGTCTACTTTCCCCTGACTTGGTGTCCATTGCAGCACAGCTTTGGTATCTGTCACATTGACAACTTGCAGATGTGTTGGAGGAGCGGGCACTGCAGTGAAGAGTCAATCCACAATGTGTTTATATGATTTTCATGTGTTAAGACAAACAAAAAGTGACTGTAGATTTTAGAAAATGTATATAAGTACCTGTGGTCATAAGGGATGTTAGGATGTCACTACTTGTTCTGCCTTGTGTAGTCGTTACAATGATAATGTAAGAGGTTCCGGCAGACAGCTTTGACAGAACCACGTAAGATTGATGAGACTCCACGGTCACAAAGCGGCTCTCCCCTAACAGAATAATCACAATTATCACAAAGAAAACATGTACTCTTCCCAATATAAAAAATCCCCACTGACGGAAATGTAGGGGATTTTGAGCTAAGGTGCAGTATAAATGCAGGGCTTTGACAAACCTGTGATGATGTTGGTGTACGTCACCCTGACGCCTGAGAATGTGGTCTTTGGTTTGGACCAGGAAACATTGAGGGAAGAATCTGTTACATCGCTGAAAACCATCTCTGTGGCTGGCTCAGGCCCTGAAGACAGAAAACAAGGAGATTCTTATTCTCATGTTGCTGCTCCTTTGCCTGCTAAAATGAAGGAATTATTCTTAAAATAAAAACGTCATACAACTTTATTTTACCTGTAATTACAGTTGCTTTATGAGTCTTTGATTTCCTCTCAGCTGCAGAGCCATATACTTGAAGAACATATGCTGTATTTGCCCGAAGGTTACTGAACTCTACAGAGCGCACGCTGCCAGGGACCACCATAGAGATCCTCTTTGTTTCAGTTTTGCCACTAGCTGCAGCTGCTTTACCAGAGGCAGCAGTTGTGTTGGTGCTCTCACTCTGTACTTGGACTTCAGTTGTGTTCTTAGCTGTTGAGGCTGCGTCTCCTTCGAGAGCTACTTCTTCCATTTCCTCGTGGTTCTCTTCGTCGCCCTCTGTTCGGGGCTCTGTTCTGATCACGGTGAAGTTCTTGAACATCCCTTGTGGTGCTGACCATGTGACGGTGAAGCTGTAGGAGGATATGTTTACGACCTTTACAGAGCCTAATCCAGAGCCTAATCCAGATCCTCCCACCTTCCTCGTGGAGTCATGGGCGGTTGATACCAATGTTGAATTTACTAGATACTGACTCTTCTGTACGTCTTTCTCTTTCTCAACTTTGCCAGCGACAGTGTTTCTGTTGTCTACAGATTGCACATTTGCTGTTTCTACTTTTACTTTCTTGGTGCGTTTAGGTCCAGATGATTGAGTTACATTCTTCTCAGCCAGTGTGGACTGCTCCATGGTCTCCTTCCCTGTTCTGGTTCTGTTTGCTCCAACACCCTTGGTCAGAATGGTCACAATTTTAGCTGTGCTATTAGATTTCTTCACAATACTCTGAGTTACATTCGTTTGAGGTTGGTCTTTTAGCTGGTTTGTTTTAGGATGTGCTTTATCTTTGGTTCTATCTTCAACAAGCTTATTGTCAGGTTTTTGGAAGAACTTTTTAGATGTTGTTTTGCCTTTGCGGGCCTCTTCCTGCTTTCTGCCCTCATGTTTCAACAGAACCTGACCAAGTGTTGGGAGAATGGTCTTTTTGCCACTTGTCTTTGTAATAGTGATTTTGTTAACGGAGGATTCTTTTTTAGCACCTCCTTTAGAATTAGTAGCCACTTTGGTTTTAGTGGTGGTCTCTTTGACGTCAGACGCCTTCTTTTGCTCTTTCTTCTGTAAAAGTGTTTTTTCTACTGTGTTGATTTTCTCCTTCTTGTTTTCCTTGTCTTTGTTCGACTGCTTGGTCATTGTTTCCATGGTTACCTCGACCTTTCCTTTGGCAGTTTCTGAAATTGCAGAGTAGAGGTTACAATTAAAGTATGAATGAGAGTTAAAGATACAATTATCTCACTTACAATTATGTGCCTCTAATTAGGGCTGCTCAATTAATCGTATTTTAATCGCAATTACGATTATGGCTTGCAATGACTACGAAAACAACGTAATCGAAATAAAACGATTTTTCTTTTATTATTATTATTACTTTTTCCTTTTTTTTCCAAATACTGTATATATACACTGAACAAAAATATAAATGCAACACTTTTGTTTTTGCTCCCATTTTTCATGAGATGAACTCAAAGATCTAAAACATTTTCTATACACACAAAATAACCATTCTCTCAATTTGTTTCACAAAGCTGAAAAAAATCTGTTGATAGTTGAGGCACTACTCTTTCGAGATACTCCATTCCCACCTCCACAGGTGTTGGCATATCAAGATGCTGATTAGACAGCATGTATTGCCACAGTTGTGCCTTGGTGCCAACAATAAAAGGTCCACTCTGGAAACGTGCAGTTTCAACAAAGTAGTTGCATTGTATATTTTTGTCAGTGTATATGTGTTTATTGGTTTTCAGTTTAATTTTTCCTCCCAAATCGAGCAGCCCTGACCTCTAATGCTACCAAATCCAATGCTGCAGACCTTTTACTTTTATGACTCAGCTCCTTGTAGCACACTTTTACTGCCAATTCTGGACGTGGGTGAATTCCCTGTTGGCTAGATACATTTTCCCCTCCTGACCACTCTCCATTGCGCACTACATCCATTTGGGACAATTAGCAGCATGGACCTGCGCAAGAAAACAACCAAAAATTACTTAAATCAAATCTCTATGATTTACTAAAAATATGGTTACTACTCAAATATTGACTGGAATCCGATACATTTCTCTTTAATGGAAGTCATCTCGTCCGTCTCCAGTCGAGCCGACGCGTCACTTGCAGCGCCGCCATCTCAGCGGTCACATCCTCTTGCCGGCTGCACGCCACCAGGCACCAATGGCTGATTTTTTTATGCGTGGTTATTTCACCTAGATGTCGCCTATGGTCTTTCTACTTTCAGCCTCTTTGCCATTGTTTGTAGTCACAGCCTTTCGCTGATGAACACCTTCATTGGTTTTGCAGATGAGGAAGGCTTTTTCTTTGGTAGTGTAGTGTTGGGGAGCTTTGACTTGCAGTAAGCTTATCTTTGTCAGCTGCATTTGCGGTGTGACTGAGCACTGATCTACTGTGAGGGCAGGCTGGCTTTGGTGGAAGTGGAGGATTTAGCTTTACAACAGGTCTGATTGACAAGGTTGTGGGTTTATTTTGGTTGTTTTAGCCGGGGAGTAGGCCTTTAGCCGATGTTGACTGATTTTGAACTACAGTGGGGGCAAGCTTGTCTTTGGTCAGTCTTCCCATCACTTGATTTGAACGGTGATTTCATTGAAACGGTTCTGATTGACCAAAGTTGGAGTTGGTCTTTGGTGTTTAGTCCGGTTGGCTGAGGCAGACTTTGTGGATGCTGACTTAACTTTTGGAGCTACAGTTGGGGGCGAGGTTGTCTTTGTAGCTTTCATCACTAACTGGTAGAAGCCGTGTATATGGTGCTGCTGGCTATAGTGGATAACAACTGTTTTGATTGACTGTGTTTTGGCTTCAGGGTCTGTTTGGTGAGGCAGCAGTTGGTTTTGTGGTGACAGGTGCGAAAAACTGCATTTGGATTTGGTCGCGGTCGCTTCCGTGTGAGTTTCTCCTCTCAGG